CGCGTACACGACCGCGATCGCGTTATTTCCTCGCATTTGCGAGGTCCAGGGCGTCGATTTTGACGCAAGGCGAACTAAACGTTCGCAATTTGTTGAAAATCAGAGAAGTTGTCGAGAAAAAATTGGTATAAAATAATTATATTACGGTATTAAATAATTAAAAAAAATAACCATTACATGAAGCAATCTGAATTTGTTTGAAAACAGTAGCCAATATATCTCTTTAATAATGATATAAAATATCTCAAAAATAATTTTATTATTCTTTATTTTACTCTATTAATTTTTATTACTTTAATTTCTATATGTAAATGTGATTTAAATTTATAATTACAGCCCGAAAACTATATTTTTATATGTAAAATAATTATTTTTTCTCGACCCTTCGAAATAAACAAGGAAAAACTAGGTATCGCACTGATTTTTAAAAAACCATCACCTACCCTAAAAGGTTACTCACGTGTGCTGGCCACTTACTGCAATGACACCACTCTGTAACAAAAAAAATAAGTCTATCATTAGATTAAGAACTTCTAAACAAATTGGATGTATTTTTATATGTAAGATATATAATATTACAAACAGAAATATACCTTCGTGCCAGCATTTTATTGCCCGAACCGGCTCCTCCGGTACTGCAAACACCGCCATCAGGAACACCGCCATCAGGAACACCGCCATCATGCGCTGGCCACTTACTGCGACGACACCATTCTGTAACAAAATAGAAGTCTATCATTAGATTAAGAACTTTGAAGAAAATTGGGTGTACTTTAATATTTTTATATGTAAGATATATAATATTANAAACAGAAATATACCTTCGTGCCAGCATTTTATTGCCCGAACCGGCTCCTCCGGTACTGCAAACTCCGCCATCAGCATCACCAAAAGTCCACAGAAATATTGTCCGGATTGTCTTCTGTGGCACTTAATTACTTTCACACGCGCACACACGCGCAATTAAGTGAATTTCTTTCATACTTTCTTTAAAATTTGCTTTTGATAATGTTAGACGTTCGCGATGAAAAATTTCACGTATATCAAACTATTACCTTGCTGTTTCGAGATTTGTTTTTTTGTAAAATAAAGTATTTTAAATATATAAAGCGATGTATTAC